GGACCCAGCCCTCAGACACTGTGGTTCTACCTGTTGGAAAAGATGAGCTGTTCCCTGAAGTGAGTTAAGGCGTGCTGAGATGCTTTGGGAGCTTTTGGAATGAGCAAATGGAGGTGAGGCACATCTGGAGGAGCAGCCACGCCTACAGCCTCAGAATGGAGATGGCACACCTGTCTCATTCAGGTAAAGGGCATCCACACAACAGGGCCTGACACATCAGAGGTAAATATGAGACTCCAAAACTAAGAACTGCCAACCCTTGACAGGCATCCTGTTTTTGTGGTGCTGGAGATGAAACTCTTGGCTTCATGCCTGCATAGCTCAGTAGAACAAGCGCTTGCCTGGCAAGCACAAGGTCCTGAGTTCAATCCCTGGTACCACCAAAAAAAAAAAAAAAAAGACACAGGATTTTAGTCCTGGGAAGCCTTTGATATCATTTGCTTTTTGTACCGAGATCGTACCCAGCGCCTTTGCTCTGAGCTACATCTGTAGCTTTTTTTTTTTGACAGGCTCTTGTTTAGTTGCTAAATTGCCCAGGATGGGTTTGACTTTGATCCACCTGCCTTATCCTCCTACTGCTGAGATTACAGGTGGGCCCCACAAAGTCTGGTTGGTTTATGTTTCTAAGATTTTCTTTGTTTGGTGGTAGCAAGGATAGAACTCTGGACCTTGCGTTTTCTAGGAAGCACTTATTCTACTGAGCTATCTACTTATCCCCCCCCATGTTTCTAAAAGGTGACTTATGGTTGTGGTGTATCTTCTGCAATTCCAGCATCCGGGAGGCTGAGGTGAAGGATGTTCAGTTGGAGGCCACCTGTGGTACCTAGAGAAACAAGGTCAGGGATATAGCTCAGCGGCATAAGCGCTTAGCTTAGCAAGCACAATATCCCGAGTTTGATCCCCGGTACTGCAAAAAACTAAACACAAAAAACAAAACAAAACAAAAAAACCCCAGACCCCTAAAGCCAGCAACAGCAAAAGTCACTGCTAATGGAAATGGTGGACGGCGGAGGAGGAGAGCGTGGCAGCCGCAGCCCTCAGTGTAGAGGTCGTTGGTCCCCTGCAAACACTGGGGAAGTACCAGTGAAGAGCGAGCGACAGGGAAGGCTGACCAGGTTTCCAGCCGCGGCGGGTCGAGGGCCGGACACACCGGGGAGGTGGAGTCGAAAGTCCCTTTCCGCCCCCGCAGGTCCCCGCGGGCAGCTGATGCGGGCGGGCCGGCGGGCGGTGTCAGTTCAGCGAAACCAACGCCCTCTTGCGCCGCCTCACCACTGGCTCTGGGGGGGTCTCCGCCACCCCCACCAGCCAGCTCGAGTGCTCTGATAAAGGCAGTTGAATTTCTTCCAATCTTGGGCAAAGCGATGAGCAAACAGCCGCAAGTCAATCCTGCACTTACCTTTCGGCGTGGCCCTTAACTGCACCTGAAGGCCTTCCGGGGGTCGCAGCAGCCACCCGAGGCCGGTCGGGGTCTCCGGCTCGCACCCTTTGCGCGCGCTCGCGCCCGCCCCGCCCCTGCAGGCAGAGGGACCTTCCGGCCCTCCGGCGAGCTCCGCCCACCTAGAGCGCCCCGCCCCTGCCTGTCGAGCCCGCCCCTCGGAGGCGGAGCCTCCGCAGGTTGGCTCTCCGGGCCACGTAGGCTGGGCGGTCCTCGCGGCTCGGTTGGCGGCCGGGGTGGCCGCCCTGCGCGCCGGGCGCATGCGCAGGCGGCGCACACGGCGCGCTGCCCCCTCCGGGTCCACGTCCTTCCGAGGGCGCGCGCGCCGGTGCGAGGGCGTGCGTGAACGTGCGTGAGCGTGCGCGTCTCCTCCGCTGCCGGTGCCGCTCCCGCGCCCTGTGCAGCTGCTCCCGACTACCCGGACCCCCAGACTGAAGAGTGGGTCGGCTGGCTGCCAGCAGCGCCGCGGAGCGGGAGCGGAGCCGCGGAGCCGGCGGCGGGCGGCGGGCGGACAGGTAAGCTGGCGGCGGCCTGCGAGGCGGGCTTCCACTCGCGCGAGGGCTGCGGGCCGCAG